ATACAAAGAAAAGTGAAGAATTGAAATCAAACTCCAGGGGGAACCCTGTGTACTCAGACACAAGTGCAGGTGCTATGCAGAACTTTCTTTAAACAGAGAACACAAAGAATCCAGAATCGAAATATCTAGCTTAACATCTCTGTAGTGGAGATCACTCACAACTGACTCACGATTGGGTTGTGAAAATGTTCTGAAATAAATTGGTACAAATCGGGCACCGTTGTAAAATTTGCCAACGCTGCGTTTGAGCAGATGCACGAGGTACAAATGGGGCAGGTCATACAGATTAGTTCGGAAGGCTGTGAAATGTCATTAAATGACCGCTTGTCAGACATTGCACGGTAAAAAACGACGTGGAAATAGTGATAAATACGACAATTCTGGTCTCATCCATGCAGCTATTTTTATACAGATGAATGGAGGCAATTCTAGTGTTTTATGCAAAAAAATAATCACATTCAGCTTAAATAATCGCGATCAGCCGATTATGTAATATGTGATAGGCCTACCTGTGGGTGACGATTCCTGTCTGCTGCATGATGCTTGGTACTCAAACGCTGTTCCCTGTCCCGCGGGTGACGATTCCTGTCTACTGCGTGATGCTTGGTACTCAAACGCTGTTCCCTGTCCCGCGGGTGACGATTCCTGTCTACTGCGTGATGCTTGGTACTCAAACGCTGTTCCCTGTCCCGCGGGTGACGATTCCTGTCTGCTGCGTGATGCTTGGTACTCAAACGCTGTTCCCTGTCCCGCGGGTGACGATTCCTGTCTGCTGCGTGATGCTTGGTACTCAAACGCTGTTCCCTGTCCCGCGGGTGACGATTCCTGTCTGCTGCGTGATGCTTGGTACGTAACATGGTCTTGTAGGGATCAGCACTTAAGCACAGGCCAGATCATACGATTGCCAACTGGGGCGTGAGCCCGAGCCTGACTAATCAATCTGGCACATGTCTTCATGTTGAGATGGAATGACTATATACTGTTGTTTTACATCCAGCACTATCTTACATAACATGTAAAATCAACATATTGGCAGACATTGTTTTCTGGAATGGGTTTTCCTTCAGCTGGTATGGTAAAAAGAGCCGCGGCTGGTACGTGGCCTTCCTGTCTCTTCCGGAATGGTGTGAGAGGGGTACGCAGGGTGACCCTGCCCTCCTGCTGCTCTGCTCTTCAGCCCTGTCCTGTGGGCCTCCAGTCTAGTGCTGTTTTTGATTCTAGCTGGACCTCAGTAATTACATGTGATTCATTTGTCCATTGACTGTGATTGCTGGCTGGCTCATTTTTTGTGTCCCTTTTGGTGCTGTTTATACTGATATGAAATGTTGAGGTTTATTAATTCACTGGATCCCGATGTATTGCTCAGTCATGTCATGATCAGTGATTAAGTTAATTGTTGAACATTTATGGCCTATAAATAATTGACATCTAACCTGTCCCTCTGGGTTGCCCCTGCCAGTCATCTCCTACTCTATCTGTTATCCTGTTATTGCCTGAACTGTATCATAAATGGAAGGTGTGATATTACAGCGTGACTGACACAGATGTGGTAATTTTCTTTTTTTCATTTCCATGGTTTTCCTCTGTAACCCCTCCCCTGTACCTCCCTCTCATATCACCCATGGTATGAAAGCAGATTCTGTGCCACCACCGCCGCCCCCCCCTGCCCCTTCCCTGAAAGTCCTTGGGATTATGAACAGAATCTTGTGGTTTTTTTTTGTTTTTTGCTCTGAAGCAAGCCACAGGTCATTCCTCATAAAGCCGTTAAGTTCCTGGCTCCAAAAGAACTTTGTGGTGACCAGATAGATTCCAAGATCTGTGCTCCAAGCACTGAATGTTCCCACTGACTGCATTAGCAAAAGCACCATCACCAGTGTGGATGCTTCTCATCTGGGATTCTTGATGATGGAATTTTGACCCAAAGCCAAACATTAACTAATATCTTGTTGCTTTATAATTGCTTCTCCATGTGTTGATGGTGACTGTATGTAGGTCCATGAAGCAGCATTGTTGTTGGACTCTTGAAGAATGTAGGCACTGTTCACTTTTGTGCCTGTCTTTTCCTGGTTTGTTGACTGTATCCTTTCTCCCATATGTGCTTGGTCTCTGAAGGTGTTTTGCCGAAGTCTGCGATGACGTCAGGCGGTGACTGGTGAATACACGCCTGAGCGTTAGCAGATTTGCACTTAATATGAGTGTGAAATTCAACGTGCTTTTGAGGCCCCCCCCAGAAGTATGGCCTCTGGCCTCCCCACCTCAGTTTTCCACAGTTCCCCACCCATGGTCGTGTTGGCGTCCAGGCTAGACATTCTACACTTCCTGTGCCCCACCTTGCTAATGCTAACCCTAAAAGACATTCACTGCTGCATAGAAATAGTGTGAATTACATTAGGGCTGCCGCAATTACTAGACAGTCTGACGTTGACGCTGAAAATGCGTCAAGATCAGTATTTAAATTGACTTTTTTTCATAGAATTACCTTTATGAAGTCTAAAACGCTTCAATTCATTATAAGAAATGTTTTCCTTTATCATTATTTAATTATGGGAGTAGTTCAAATTAGCACAAAGCATACCATGGCGATAGTAGTACTATGCATGAGCACCAGAAGAGAGAACCCACAGGCAATATTCTAGATTGCCAGAAAAGGCAAATCCACCATGTTGGCTGTTTAGTGCTGTCCCAAACGATTATTCTTTAAACGATTAATCTAGCGATTATTCGTCTAATCTAACAACTAATAATTGAATTTATCTGATGATAAATTTATTGATGAGCAATTATTTTCATTTAACACGACAATTCACCCCTCCCCCACACTCACACCTGAAATTCTCATTAACATTTCAATTTATTAAAACATTTCTTAAACATTAGAGCAGAGGTCACTAACAGGCGGACCGCGGTCCAGTTCCAAACCCCGAAGCAGTCCCATACGGACACGAACAGATAGCCAAAACAGAAAATTGTGATTTAAAACCTGATGAGGCGCTTCTATTTTATCCAGCACAGCTTTAGTAGTCTTTTCGGTAGTGGTTTAGCACTATAACCGCCGTTTCCCTCACCAATGAACGTCAAATGCCTTTGACCGACAAGCAAGACGTAGTTCGCCATATGCAGCCCTTTGTTTGCGCTAATGTGCCATTAGTGTTAATAACAGCAGAAAAGTGACCACTCGCAACCAAAAAGCCGTAATATTCCTGACAGAGTGGCTGCTCTGTCCTGAAATCCTACAGCTGAAAAGTTTTCAAACACTACAGTATGTATTATATAACATGTTGGATAAATAGACATAGTTTATTGGTGATTTCATGTTCGTTGAAGTTTCCAATTTTTAACAACTGTTTAAAGTAATGTTATTTGTTATATAAATCAACTCAGGTCAAATAAAAAATGTACGCTTTCAGGGTTGCCAAATCTCAAGCATCTATCTGGCATGACACTCATGCAGAAAATCTTACAGCAAATCAATATTATTCTATTATAAACCTAAAATAAGCTACGTTAAAAGTGTATTTACACGGTTCAATACAAAAGCAGACTATTTACAAGGTAAGAACTGTTACATATTTGTGCAGACATCTCGAATTGAAAATTTAACTCCAGCCAGCTGACCGAAGTTGGCAACCCAGCGTTTTATTTGAAATGAAAAGTAAAATGCACTGTTGTCCCCTGAAACAGCTTGTCATTCCGTTTGCGTTGTTACTCCAACAAATATGAGAATATGAGAAAAAAGGGGAAATTCAAGCTTTCCTTCCTTTATTATATTTTTCTGAAGTTAAACCCCTTTTTTAAACATGCATAATTTTCACATTTTATTTATTTTCTCTTATTTTGAAATGCAGCCCTACTTTTATTTAGTAAATGAGAGTACATTATACGTATCGGCAGTCATACATATAAGTTCAGTTCGTCAGTTGTCACGTGACAATAAATATTGTCGTAAAGTTTTTGAATTGTACTGAAGTAATTTGATTTGACAGTTAGGTATTGACTACATGCAATATTGATACAACTAATAGGCTACTTAATTATATATCACACTAAATATTTAGACATCATGATCTTCCGGACCTTTGCTTCAAGAAATTTTCTCTAACTGGACCTCTTTACATTTTAGTTGAATACCCCCTGCATTAGAGCATTATTAACAAAAAAGGCAAATCTTAAGATAGTCAATAGGATTTCTATGTTAGACTGAAGTTAATAATCACTGCAATAGTTTTTACTTAATTATTTCAGTACACGAATTTGACTTGATTAGCAAGATGCTTAGATGCTAAAACATGGAATGATTTCATAACTAGAGAAACATGTTTTTAACAAACACTAGCAAAGGCAGCTTATAGTTAAGCTTACTTCAGTGAGCAAGGAACGATTTAGGCTACAGTGTGTAAGAGTAGTCGTAAACGATAATTTGTCTCACTCTTACATGACAGAATAAGTAAACAGAAAGTATAAAATGGCTGAAACAGCGTCATTAATGTCAGCTACAGTAGAGATGCAGAAAAGGTGTCATGACTGAAGTATTCCCAAACTTTGGAAGACCGTGTGCGAGCTGCGTGTTTCTCCAGAGGCTCCGGAGCTCTGCTGGTAGACGCAGCCATGTTGCCTCGTGCGCGGGGGGCGGCAAATTTCCTTTTTGCAGGGTGGTAGGAGATGTCTCGTTAATATTTATGAGAGAAGTGCTACATGATTGTCCAATGCATGCCTTACAAAATAGTGCGGCACTGCTGGCACCGGTGATATTAGACAAAACTATATCGGAATTCAGTCTATATTTGATATTGTTCTAACGGTGCCTGCAGTGAAACAACTAGCCAGCTTAGCGGAATAACTTTGTATTGTAAATTAAAACCATGCCGCTGGTCCAATAAATAAAACATTGTAGCTCTCGAGTGGCGAAGAGATAATCAGGTGGACAGTAAAGTTCAGTTATTAGCAGACTGTTTTATTGCGCGATTCTTAAAAGGACAGCGTTAACGTGCTCCGGAGGGGATAAAGTACTTTCCCTTACTATAGTATATTTTAGCTTTTCACTGCATTGCAGCTACAAAAAATTTACGCAGTTTTACACACCGCGTCGACACAAAAATTCCACGTCGATGCATTTTTATAATTGCCATTGTCGATTACGTCAAATAATCGTCCCAGCCCTATTCATGTTTTAAATTACCATTAGTGCAGAGAGATTTTTAATATCTTTTGTCCTTGTAGCTGCTAAACACACTCATTATTAAAGCCATAAAATTGTCTGTCTGCTACATTACAATATCAATTGAATAAGTGTTTGTGAAAATGTTCAGGGTAAAATCTGGGCTTACTCTACCATGATTGACGGTGCCAGTGTGTGTGTTCGTGCGTGTTGAACTTGCTGGGACCAGTGTCGTTACTGTAAACTAAAACTGAAACGAAAACAAGCACTACATAAAATAATTTGTGAACTGAAATAAAAATGAAAACAATATTTACAAAAAAAAGTGTCAGACTTTAATCTGCAAAAAGTACCACCACGACACCATCTCTTTACCGTCTTAACCACAGTACCTCCTCATTTAAAAGGTGATGTCCCTTCCTATCACTTGTCGCATGTGGCGTTGCTCTGCTACATCATCTAAAGCCCTGCAGTGGCATACAGTTTGTGTTTTTTTCAAAATAAAACTAACTTAAAAGGTCAAGTTGATCTTCTGGAGGAAAATTAATCGTTTAGATTAATCAACCAATCGATAAAATAGTCGATAGGTTAATCGATAGAAAAATTATCGTTAGTGGCAGCCCTAAATTCCATAGGCACAATATTGAGCAACGACAGGTGATTTACCGGCACTGCTTTGTGTCTGTACTTGCACTGAATTTTTTGACAGACTCGATTGGTGGATAAAAAGTCCTATTTAGCTATAGTTTAAATCTTCAACTCTTTTGGATAAATATTGCAATATTTCTATGTCACTTGTCCTGATTTATATATGGAGTTTAAAGATGGTCAGGTGTGTGTGGCAACAGATTTAAGACGTGTAATAGTGATGTCACTTAATGGTCATTACGTTTAGCGTTTCTTTTTCAAGTCATGCTTAGCTTAAATGTGAGTTCATTCATACATACTTCACTGATAGTATTAATATATTATTGCTTTTGAATTTATAAATGGTTTGTTTTGAAGCAGTATGATATTTAGATGGGAATGCTTTACAGTATGGATTTAGTATCGATTTGGTATTGATATTGCAGTCAGTTATGAGAGCTATTGTAATGTTGAGTGTGGTGCATCCATCTTGCTGCTGGGGTATGGTGCCAATATGTATGTTTCATTGAGCCCATTTGGGTCGTTATGACTTCATTAGGACACCCCGACCCCCCCCTGGCTCAGTGAGACCCCCTTGTCTCCTGTTAATGGACAGGAAGCTGCCACAGCTTTGGTGGAGCTGCAGAAGCAGACAGTGAAGGCAGCAGGTGTGATGGGAGGGACCTGAAGCCAGAGCCGTATGGTGGTAAAATGGACGTTTTGGACCGTAAACGTCTGCATCTCTGAGAGGTGCTGTGGACCCTCCCTGCTGTCACCCTGTGAAAGATTCGCTCCAGCAGAACTGTCACGTAAACAGCACGGGGGACACGCGTACATGCTCATTACCCTTTCAGAGCGCGTTTGTGATGCAGATCCTTCACTGCCGGAGGAATGCGTATGACGGCCTTGTTCACACACCGCTAAAGTGTCTGTGTCTGAGAGCTGGGTGTGGCTTGGCACCCCCCCCACCGGCCGGCCGGCCATTTGCATACACATTGATTCATTTGCGGCGGTGTTTGGAGGGACCCAGGAGGCTTTTGGCACATTGCCTCAGGTGAGAGAGACCGTGGTCAGGCTCGTTAGCGGGGCAGCCTAGCATAGCGGCGTTGGCTCCCTCGCACCCCAGGGCAGCTGAGGTGGTCTTTATGGTGTTGCGCTGGCTTAATTATGCCCAGTTTGCTCCCTCTGTTTGGTGGGTGGGACAGTGGCAGTTTGCTTTGGGGAGGAGGGAATGGAGGCGTCCATGAGAGGCAGTGGCGGGGGAGTCTCTCACTTTGTGAACCTTCACTTTTTGGCATGGAGCTTGTTTACACCTTCAAGTCCCCCCCCCAGTGAGGTCTGGGCGCAAGAATGGTGAGACGGTGGTGCCTGTCTTATCTACTGGGTTTGGTGGCTGGTAGGTTTTTCGTGTGGGTGCATGTACATTATTAATTGAATTGAATTTTCTGTCTCAGGAAATGAAATAATGCCTCACACAGCCTTTTCCCCTGGGGGGTGTGTGGGAGGGGGTTCCGCTATTGGAGCGGCTGTTTGTGGTTGTCTGACAGTGCTGGCTGTGTGGCTTTTCAGATTGGAACGTGTTCCTGTTATTGGAAGTAGTAACTTTTGCGGTGCCATGCTTCAGTTGTTGTGTGTGTGTGTGTGCGTGCGTGCGTGCGTGCGTGCGTTTGTGCATGCCTGCGGGAGTGTGTGTGTGTGCGTGCTTGTGTGTGTCCCAGGGTGGGGTGCCATTTCCTCTCTCCCATTAGCCGGGCTCCGCTGTTTCCCAGGCCCTGCCCCCGCCATCCCTGCTCCTCCTCTTCCCTGTCAGCTGGCTCTGAGCTGCAGTATCCCGACAGTAGGCCTGCTGGACTCCCAGCTTCTGCCATCCTGCCTCTGCTGGGCGGCCTGCTTCCAAACCTCGCCGGCTGTCGGCACCGAAAGGCCGGCCGTCCTCCCCTCCCCCCCCGTCGCCGGCAGCCGGCCATCCTGCTGGGCTGAGCGGCGGAGTATCTGCGGCCAGGCTGTGTTTTTGGGATCCGCTCCTCTCTGAGGAAGGAGGTGCAGGCTGAGGAGAGGCACGGGACGAGACGGGCGGAGGCCCCCATGGCTGCCTGTCTGCGCAGCTGCGTCTTGCCTAAGTGGAGCCCAGGTACATGAGTGTACTGGTCGAACTCCAGCTCCGGACATCCGGCTCCTCCGTGTGACGGCTACGCCGGCTCGTTTCACACCGCCGCGGTCTGCCGGACTTTGTTTCCTGCAAACGGTCCATTTAGGTTTTTGTTTTGTTTCGCTGGTGGCCGGGGGACCGGGAAAGCGGAGGGGGGCCGTTAGCTTGTGAGAATCGCCACGGCAGCCAGCAGTGAGCAGATGCTGGCGTCTTCCTGAGACCGGTGAACGGTTTGTTACAAGGGCTGCAGGTGACAATGTGCTTTTTGTTCCCCTCCCTCTCAGATGATTATCTGTGTGAAGGCTGGCTGGGGGTGGGGGGTGGAATGACAGGTGCCAAGGAGCAGAAATGCAGAGTCGGGCTTCTGGGTCACTGCAGCCCCGGAGAGTGGCCCTTTTCCCACTGCGTCTTCTTCCTGAGTGGTTCCAGTGCTGGACTAGAGGTGGAACAGAGCGGGGCCTCGTTCCCCGCGATAAGCCAACGGAAATAAGGCTGGAGGCCCCCAAGGTTTATTTGCGGAACAGCCTGGATCCCTTCTGGTCGCCTTTGTCAGAGGGTCATCTTTTTCTCAGAAGAAAGACTCTTCTCTAGCAGGCTGGGGCGGGTGCAGTACGGTCTGCGTTTAAAAATTCCTCAGGGCTAGGAAGAGCAGAGTCTGCAGCATGTGTTCCTGTTTTCTTGTATAGTGTAGGATAAGGTGGGGATTCCCATGGGGAAAAGGGCACTTCTCAGGAACATTCTCAACTGTTCTGTGTGCTTACTGCCAGCGAGGGCTGTGTTTGCATCAGGAAGTCTGCAGCTGTTGACCATGTATGTTGTATGTATGTATTTATGTATGTATGTATGAACTCTCCTTTGGGTTCTCTAGGACCTAGTGACTTGGACCTAAATGGTCGTAAATGCCTATCTCGCCTGGCCGTCGCACTCGCGTTTTCCTCCTTTTCTGGAACAGGAACAGTGATTGTGTTTCGATAAGGAACTGGACTGTACGTGACGTACAGATGTCTGGGAATGTGAGCGCCATGGAAAGTACACTCAGTATATGACTTGTACCTTAACAGTGAGATAACAACATCATTCTGCTTTACAAAATAAATTGGTTGCATCTTATTTTCTTCATGGTGCAAATAGATACTGTTACTGTTACTTTCTGGAGTGCCATAGCCTTCAAAGGTAGTCTGCTCATAAACGCTCCAGTTTCACCAAACTGGTAGCAGATCCCTCCATGGTTGTTTCCATGCTGCTGTTTCCCTGTTCTTTGCTTAAAATTAATAGGCTCTGAGGTAATATTCCATTATCCAGTCGAGTGCAATATATTTAGCATGTGTGCAGCGGCAGTATTTGCACTTTAATGAATGGTACGTTTCTGTTAAAAATAAATGTTTGCCCTAATTTTACTGCTCCTCATACAGCGAATTGTACAAGATGTGCTCAGAACAAGATGTGTTCTAATTTTACGTTGACTTTAGCGGTTGTACTAACGACTGCATCCTCCGAAGGTCCTTGGCCCATAGTGGATGATATGATGAATATCCTGAAGCAGATTCCCTGTGCTGTCTGTGACCTTTACCGTGTCTCTCCTTTCAGCCTCAGATGATGAAGTCGACCACCAGCTCAACACGACAGGGAGCGAGGGGGGCAACTCTGGAGACAGCACCCCTCCCACCAAGCGCAAGGGCAAGTTCTCCACCTTGGGCAAGATCTTCAAACCCTGGAAATGGAGGAAGAAGAAAAGCAGTGAGAAGTTTAAGGAAACTTCAGAAGGTGTTTGTTTTTACCTGCCTAGGATCTCAAATTCTTCATTCTGATAGTGTTTTCATGTCTGAAGTTCTATATTGTTCTTTTCTACCTCCTCCAATAGGTATGCGGCAGGGGACGCTTCTGTTTATGGGCAATATTATAATATTGTTCTGAGTACAAATCTACCTTTCTGCCTCTTACATCCAGCATGCTAGTCTACAGCTTTACCTGTGTGGTGTTTCTCTGGATAAATAGCCCTTGAATATTTCCATTATATGGAAACAAAGCTCTCCGTACCCCCTCTGTGAGAGATGTGTATATGGTGTTATTGGTCTCTCTAGCCTGCTGTTGTGTATTTACGTTTGTATTGTTTTTGGTTATGTGGTGATACCGGGTTTGCTCCAAAAGAGACAGCACTGATTCTTATCAAAAATGTTCTTCAATTTTGCAGTTCTGGAAAGAAAGATCTCGATGAGGCGGCCACGGCAGGAGCTGATCGAGAAGGGGGTTCTGAAGGAGGTCGCGGACAATGGTACGTGAAGGAACTGAGCACTGAGTAAACATGCTGCTAAAACATTTGTTCAGTTCTTTGTGCTGTGTAACTGCTGCTATGTGGGGCCATACAAAGGGTCACTCTCCTGACTCGCTGAGAAGGGCATTTGTATTGTGTGTGCCAGCAGAAGACCACGGCTCATATCTTACAAAGGTCTGAATGATTCTATGGGGAATGAATGACGAGGGGGCAAGACAGAAGGGAGGCCTATGACATGTATGATTACGAAGAACGAGTTTGAGAAAGTGGAACAACTGGCGTTCCGCATATGGAAAGCGGATGTTGGATCTGGGTGAGGAGGAAGCCACAGTTTTACGGGGATGGTCTTGATTTCAGTGTAGCTGAACCAGCCCTATCATATCTTCTGCTATCTATAGCATCTGGTAACATGTAGCTGTTAAGCAATTTGCTTGGACCTCTTGGCCCCTAAGCATGAATTGCTCTACTGTAGTGCTCTTAT